TAATAATAATAATAATAATAATAATAATATAAAATAAAACCGCATATACATATTAATTAAAAAGTTATATATATACTTATTTTATTATTATTCAAAATAACATTTTATTTATTAATATTTTTTATATATTTATTTTACTTAAATTATACAAATTAAACAAATCAATAAAGAAATGTTCTACTATTGAAATATTATTGTACTGTAAAATAGTCATAATATTAATTTTATAAAAATTATTTTACAGAACTGTAAAATTGCACTGCCAATATTTCTTTGCTTTCAAATGTTAAACTACCAAGCTTTTATTCAACCATATTCAATTCCTATTACAAAATGTATTTTTAATGTATTTGAAAACTCACACTTAGCTCGGAAAACACCAAAATCTGCATGAACGAGTAGAAATCCCGTCCCTGACGGAAAGTTTGAGAAATGCACTCACCTTAAGCAGGTCTGAGAGTGTGGAAAGCACCTCCGGCGGCCCCACCTCCAGACCTTCCTCTCTGCCGGACGACTTCTGACTGTACGTCACGTTTCCCAGATACAAGATGGCCGACAGGACAGAGAATATCCTACGAGGATAAACAGCCGACAGTCTCAGATACTTCATTCTCTTGCTCTGAACATCAACACAACCCATCTGAAGACATCTGTCCTGAGAGCTTGACTCACTGTCTCTTGGTGGCTGGCAGGAAGCCCACCATCTCCATCGCCTGCTGCAGTCGTTCGAAGTCGTGCCGAAGGTCGTCTGCATCTTCTATCATAAAGTTTTCCTGCAAGCGTAAACCAAAAATCGAAAGCCGTTGCAATTTCCAAGGCTGTTTTTGACATACAAGCTATTCTAATATGTGACCCTGGACCACAAAAGCAGTCATAAGGGTATCTTTTTTAATCTTTTGAAACTGAGATTTATACATCATCTGAAAGCTGAATAAAGCTTTCCATTGATGTATGGTTTGTTAGGATAGGACAATATTTGGCTGAGATACAACAACTTGAAAATCTGGAATCTGAGGGTGCAAAAAAATCAAAATCAAAATACTGAGAAAATCGCCTTTAAAGTTATCCAAATGAAGTTCTTAGCAATGCATATTACAAATAAAAAATTACGTTTTGATATATTTATGGTAGGAAATTTACAAAATATCTTCACGGAACATGATCTTTACTTAAAGGGATAGTTCACCCAAAAATGAAAATTAGCCCATTATTTACTCACCCTCAAGGCATCCTTGGCGTATACGAGTTCCTTCTTTCAGACGAATCCAGTCGGAGTTATATTAAAAATTGTCTTTGATCTTTCAAGCTGTTGAATGCCACTCAGCGGGTGTTGCATGCATCAGTCCAAAAGAAGTTAAACAAAGCACATCCATCCATAATAAAAAGTGTCTCACACGGCTCCGGGGGGTGAACAAAGGCTTCCTGTAGTGAATCGATCCGTTTTTTTGTAAGAAAAATATGCATATTCAAAAAGTAATAATCACTTTAATGTAGCTTGCGCCAACAGTTGTACACAGAAGCAGCTCCGGGCGGATGAAGAATGAGGTCAGCGTTGCGCATGCGCCGGAGAGTCTCGTGAAAAACAACGTTTGTTAACAGAAGCAAAGGAAGCAAATTTTCCTTACTTAAGCAAAGCAAAACCAGTCTCCTCTTGGCTTATATCGAAATCCTCTGACATTCTTCTTTACAAATCCTCGTTTTGTACTTCTAATTTGTGACCGTTGTTTTGTTTTGATCTCTCCGCTGCGTTTCCGTGTACCATCACTTCTGAGCAGCGCATGCGCAAAGCCGACCTCATACGTCATGCACCCGGAACTGCTTCTGTTTACAACAGTGAGCGCAAACTAGATTAAAGTGATTATTATGTTTAGAATATGGATATTTTTCTTACAAAAACACATCGATTTGCTACAGGAGGCCTTTGTTCACCCCCCGGAACCGTGTGAGACACTTTTTATTATGGATGGATGTGCTTTATTTCACTTCTTTTGGACTGATGAACTGCAACACCCGCTGAGTGGCATTAAACAGCTTGAAAGATCAAAGACAATTTTTAATATAACTCCGACTGAACTCATCTGAAAGACGAAAGTCATATACACCTAGGATGCCTTGAGGGTGAGTAATTCATGGGCTAATTTTCATTTTTGGGTGAACTAACCCTTTAATATCCTAATGATTTTTGGCATAAAAGAAAAATCGATAATTTTGACCCATACAATGTTTTTTTGGCTATTGCTACAAATATACCCCAGCGACTTAAGGCTGGTTTTGTGGTCCAGGGTCACATATCAGTAAGCACTGATAATAAGGGTTAAGAGGGTGTTTTTATTTCTGCAGGACCTGTTTGAGGTAGAAGTATTCTTCTGGCTGCAGGAGTCTGAAGTCCCGCCGCTCGTCCTCTGACACACCCACCAGCAGATAGTAAAACACGTGGTAGTTCCTGTAGGAGGAGGAAAGAACCATGAGTTACTGAGTTTGAAAAAGCCACACGCTACTCATGATTTAAAGTAAACCACAGTCAAGCTAGCGCTTTGAAAAACTAGTTAGCTCCACTTCACATTGCTAATAAAAGGCAGATAGTGACACTGAAGCTACTGAAGGAAGCGATATCTTGTTTTTGGATCAATTAATTTGCATGAACCTTCTGAACGAATCAATTCATAAACCATGGTACTATTTATTCATCCTGATTTAAATTAAAATATTCATTGTAATAGTTATTTCCCCACGAAAATGCATTTATTTCTATAGTAAATTTGATTATTTATATATTAAAACTGAAGAAGGTGATTTCTTGTTTTTAGACCAGTTCATTTACATGAATCCTTCGGATGAATCAGTTCACTCATAAAGCATGGTATTATTAGTACTGTAGGATTTCCCCCATTTTAATCATTTGAATGAATCAGTTCACTAGGGCAAATCCCAAAACCACATGCTACTTATCTAATTAATCAAAGCTATTTTACAATATTTTGAACACACTCAGGCTATTGAGAAACGTTTTTCAGCAGGTTCAGCAGTCGCGGTGAGCTGGTACGAGCTGATAATACTGCGGTTAACGCTGCAGAAACGGCTGTGAGAGCGATGGGCCGACAGACACGCTGGGAAACATCTCAGTCTCTGACCAAACGTCGAAGCAGCCTGGTTTCTGATGCACAGAAGAGACGTTTGAAAGTCGTACCTCTCGTTCTTCTCTCTGGACACCAGACGGGACTTTTCCAGCAGATATTTCTCAACCACGGCCCTGAAAGACAACCACAAACACGACAAGTGTCAGTCTCTGCTTCAAAGCGCACAGGTGTCAGTGGGAGGGGAATTTGGCCTGAAGAAAGAAAACCCTCAGCAGAGCCTGTCATTCACTTTCTGTACTGGCATTTAAGAGAGAACGAAACCAACCGGTTCTGGGATGGACTGCAAGTTTACAAACTGTAATGTTTACATGCTTTGCAATGATATTTTGTAATATAAACAATATTTGCTTTATTAGCCAGGGATATTTTTCAGACATTTTCATGTCAATCAAGCACATTTTCAGCGTATATCATCATACTGTGGAACTGTCAATCTCATTTCTGTAATGCGCGAAATAAAAATCATTGTAATACAGATTTTTTTTATCAAAATGTATTTATATATTTATTTCTTACATTTATTTATATATTACATTATTTTTTATTTATATACATTATTATTTTTTATTTATTAATTACATTTATTTATTCAGATATTAGATTTATTTAGATTTTAAACGCATTTATATATCATGGTATAATTTAAGCTGATTTAAAATCATTTGAAATATTCATTGTAATAGCTTTTTTTCTCAAAAAAGTATTTATATATTGCATTTATTACTATTATTTATTTATACATCCTTTTAGCATTTATGCTAATTAAAATGAACCTAAAATATACATTGTAATACTTTAATAAATATTTATTTATATATTACACGTGCTAATTAATTTGATCATTTATTAATTGAAATGTATTTATATAAAACAAATGTAATAATGTGTACATTACATTTGTTTGATTTATTTATTTAGATATTAAACACATTTAGATTATTATTCATATTAGATTATTAGAAGTCATTTATTTACATGTATTTAAATATTAAATGCATGCTTTTATTTATTAACCTTTACATTTATTTACATATTACATCATTTAAAAAAAAATGTATTCATAACGTGCATTTGTTCAGATATTAGCTTTATTTAGATTTTAAACCTATTTATAAATCATGGAAGTTTTTATGCCGATTTAAATTAACTTAAAATATTCATTGTAATACAGATTATTTATTTATTTATTAATTGTAATGCAAATTATTTTATTTTTTTCATTTATTTAAATATTAAACCTGTTTATTCATCTTTACATTTGTTTACTAAATTATTTATGTATTTAGATATTAAATGTATTTATATATATTTATTTATTATTTGTTATTAGTTATTTATTTGAAGCAAAAAGCTAGAAGTATTTTCCTAGAGTCTAGTGTTGACTTGATGAGCGTCGTTCAGTGAACTGAGTCTCTGATTTCTGTTTTTTAGATTTATTTATTTAATGTATTTATTAAATTGAGTTATTTACATATTAAACGTATTTATCCATAACATTATTGTCATTGAAGTTATGCAAAAAAAATAAATAATTATATTTAAAAATATATTTTATTAATGTATTTAAATAATATAAGCATTCATATTTTATGGAAGTACTTATTTATGCCGATTTAAATCAAGGTTTTTTTCCTTAATATTAATTTATATAATGCATTAATTTATTTAATTTAATTAATTACATGTGTATGTATATAAACAGTATATATACATACATATATACACACACATATATATATATATATTTATATTAGTAATTTATTTCTTTATATATTAAGTATATCTATTAATCTTTAGATTGATTTATTATTTACATTATTAAAATTACTAATTTATTTATTCTATATATGTATTAAATTTATTTATTTAGATATTGCATTCCTTGAGTTATTAAATGTTTTTACACATCATGGTACTAATTTATTTATGAAATATTCTTTGAATTTCATTTTTCCACCCAAAAATTAAATTTCTTTCATTTATTTAAATGTATTTATATATTAAATGTATTTATTATTAATCTTTACACTTATTCATTAAATGTATTTATAGTATTATAAGTTATTTATCATAAGTATTTAGTTATAAAAATGACCTATTTACTTATAAACATCCAATTTATTTCTTTGAGTTATTATTCAATCATTCAAGATGTATTACTTCATTATCTGGAGATGTTTAAATGATTTTTTTTTTTAACACATATATACACACACATATATATATATATATATATATTTATATTAATAATTTATTTCTTTATATATTAAGTATATCTATTAATCTTTAGATTGATTTATTATTTACATTATTAAAATTACTCATTTATTTATTCTATATATGTATTAAAATTATTTATTTAGATATTGCATTCCTTGAGTTATTAAATGTTTTTACACATCATGGTACTAATTTATTTATGAAATATTCTTTGAATTTCATTTTTCCACCCAAAAATTAAATTTCTTTCATTTATTTAAATGTATTTATATATTAAATGTATTTATTATTAATCTTTACACTTATTCATTAAATGTATTTATAGTATTATAAGTTATTTATCATAAGTATTTAGTTATAAAAATGACCTATTTACTTATAAACATCCAATTTATTTCTTTGAGTTATTATTCAATCATTCAAGATGTATTACTTCATTATCTGGAGATGTTTAAATGATTTTTTTTTTTACTGCGCAACCTTTTCGTTCGGTTTTATTTTTCAAGTTGCCAAACTGGCCTGGGAAACATTTCGCTGAAACCTCAAGTAAACATGAAACCGCTGGAAAGAAACCAAAGAGATTACAAACAGATAAAGAAGAAAAGAGCGCTGGCGGTTCAGATGAAATGTGAAATTGGCCTCGAGCGAACAATAAACCACAGAAAAGGATCTGTGATAAGAGAGGAAGTGTGTCAGCTCTCTCGTTCCTTCATTCGGTGTAAAGCGCGGAGGAAGACAGCAGCTGATCGAAGCGCTTCCTCGCCCCACACTCACCCGCGCACCACTCCACTCGGCAGGTAATTGACCTGGATGAACTTCCCGAATCGACTGGAGTTGTTGTTGTGGGCCGTCTTTGCGTTGCCAAATGCCTGCAAGAGAAAGAAAAACCAAACAGGATGCATGACTTCAAAAAAACCAAACAACTTGTCTTTTTACAAAGCAAGATATGCATACGTGCATTGTTTTTCACATGTGCAAACAAAATATTCAAACTAATCTTTACATTTTGTAAAAAGAAAAATCATAAATGTGTCCCTGGAGCACAAAAGCAGTGTTAAGTCGCTGGGGGATATTTGTAGCAATAGCCAACAATACATTGTATGGGTCACAATTATACATTTCTCTTTTATGACGAAAATCATTAGGATATTAAGTAAAGATAATTAGAGATAATTAGAGATATTTAGTAAATTTCGTAACGTGAATATATTAAAACTTAATTTTTGATTAGTAATATGCATTGCTAAGAACTTCACTTGGACAACTTTAAAGATGATTTTCTCAATATTTCGTTTTTTTTGCACCCTCAAATAGTTGCATCTCAGCCAGATATTATTCTTTCTGTAAATATCTATATAAATAAAAATATAAATTATTATTACTAATTAACAACAACAACAAAATAAAATTAACAACAGCGAGACAATAATAAGTAATTTAACTGCAAACCTGATAAATATACATTTTATGATTCTTTCTGTAAATATCTATATAAATATATCTTTATTACTAATTATTGATAAAAAATAGAAAAAACAGAATACAAATAGAATAAAAATGGCAGTAATATATAATAAAAATAAACTATTTAATTCAAAACATTTCTTAAAACATTATTATGATGATTATCATTGTTTTAATAATAATAACTCTTAATTTTATGTAATTGATCAAATGAAACAAATGATAATAATTAAACAATAATAAAAAAATTCAAAATGCAATAATTATAATACTAATTATTAAACATTATTAATTAAAAAAAAAAAATTATAAATAAAATGTTTAATGGACTGTGAATAAATTAATTAATTTTTAAACAAAAAATAAAAGCAGTTTCAGATGCAAATAACTGCAGACAATCTTCATCTGAGTGCAAAGCTCTTTATTTGAGTGAATCTGCCTGAACGTGTGAAGAGCGCTTAGATGTTATCGGTTCACACCTCCAGTGTCGGGAGGCCCATCTGTGCAATAAACGGTGACAACGAGGCCCTGTGATTAACGGGCCGCTGGCGTGGAAAACGTCCCTCAATGCGCCGCAGTGTTTGTCGAAGTCGGCCAACAAAAGGCCTGCCGCGCGGAAAGTGGCTCTGCGCATGTTAAAGAGGGCGGCTTTGTGCCAGACAGCAGGGGAATAACGTCCCGCTCCAGACGGACCGGGGGAGGGGCACTAACCTAATTAAGATTCTCCGCGCTCGACCTTTGACCCGTTTCCAAAACACACCGCTAAATATTGGGGAAAGCTGGAGCAGATACTGTAACCAATCAGAACCAATCAGTGCTTAAAGCGACAGTACACCCAAAAAAAATGACGATTCGGTCACTGACTTCATGACGTTACAGACCATGTTGTTTTTTGTAAATATATAAATAAAAATAAACAAATAAGTAAACCAATTTTTTTTTTAAATGTCTATAGAAGAAATAGAACATTTCTGGAACAAAAATTAATAAATGAAAAAAGTAAATAAAAAGAACTTAATAAAAATAAATTATAACAAAATAAACATAACAAAAAATGTTTTTTATAGGTATTAATAATAATAAATATAAGTACAAATATAAATGATAATAGACGATTTCATTTTTAAATATAATATTTTAATAATAATATTTTAATATTAAAACAAGATTATTATCATTAGTATTCTGTAACTACATGATGGACTACATTAGTAGTCAATACAAAGATGAAAAAAGAGGATGATTAAAAAGATTAAGATTAAAGAATTGTAAATAAAAAATAATGATTCAATAAACAAAATAAATACATGGAGTAGATGATAAATCAGTAAATAAAAATAAAGTAATTAATAAAAATAAATAAATAAGTACACAAAAATAATGAAAAATAAATGTTAATAAAAAATAAGTATGATAAATCAGTGAATATAAATAAATAAAGATTAAGCAATAAAAAATAACGAATAAATAAAAATAAACAAGTAAATGATAAATTAGTAAATAAAAAGAAATTAACAAAGTCAATAAATATAAATAAAAATCAATACGTAAAATAAATAAATAACTACATAAATTAAATTAAGTACATAAAATAAATAGAATGAACACTAAAATAAACAAATAAAGACTATTAAATCAAATGAAGTAAATAAAAAGAAAAAGAACTAATTAAATAAAGTAAAAATATCTATAGCAGAAACAACATTTTATTAACAACATAAATGAGAATTTAAATTTTTGGGTGCAATATTTCTTTCCCAAAGCAAACTAAATGAGGCATTTCACCAAAATGTCCTTTTTTTCCCCCTCATCTTGACTTTAAAATAGATTGGGACTGAACTCGTGGAAACATTCAGTAAAACTCATGAGATTCACAGAAAAAACACAGAAGTGAAAGAATCTCTCTCGGAGTCTGACTCTGAAGTCTGTCAGGAACGGAGCAGACCAGCTGTTTTGGTTTGACAATCACTAGATAAACAACTCGTGCACTCAGAACTCAAAACCACACTTCAGACTCAGACCGGTCCTCCCAAGCTGCTGCTGATTGGTGCGGGACTCGAGGCCACCCAGAGGCTATTTCTCTGTCAGAGTGTCGCAACAGCAGCCGGGAATAACACGGGGCAGCACGGGAGAAGACCGAAATCTGCAGACCTGTCTGGACTAGTTCTCATTCTTCGCTGTTATTTGGGAGTCAGCTTTCCACAGATTTCCACGACGAAGCCACGAGGCTCTGCTTCCGCATCGAAACTCGTACTTCGACAACAATAAATCCCATTTAGCTGAACTGGCTGCTCGCTATTTAGCAAGTGAGCGGCATCAAAACACATGACCCTTCGAGTCGCTCGGAAAACTCCAACACTAAAACAACAGCAGCAGCATGTGAAACTACATATTGCAATTAAATACTGATATACAAATATTAGTATTAATATACTAATTTAATGAATTTATAATTAAACCATTTAAATTATTAAAATTATTATAATATTATTATAGCTGTATACACCAATTATATATACACTAAAAACATTTATTTATGCATATTTAATTAAATATTGATATAAATGACAAAATCTATTAACTTATAATTTTTTTTATTTTTACAAATGATATATTACAAATTATATTTAAATTTAAATGCCAATAAATATTAATATTACTATAATAATTTCTAATTGATTCATTTATAATTCTAAAAATATATAATTCTATTAACTATTTAAAAAATAATCATTCGATTATTATAAAATCATATAAAATATTTAGTGCTGTCAAACGATTAATCGCGATTAATCTCATCCAAAATAAAAGTTTTTGTTTATGCAATATATGTGTGTGATGTGTATATAAGTACACACATACGGTATATATTGAAAACATATTAATAAATATATTTAATATAGAAATATAAAATTTTTCTTAAATATATACATGCATGTGTGTGTGTGTATTTATATATACATAATAAATATACACAGTACACACACATATTATGTAAACAAAAACTTTTATTTTGGA